CAATTTGTCCGTAATTTGTAGTACCTAACTGAGCAACAATCAGATCTCCTGGCATTCAGGTTGAAGCAGTGAAACCGGGTCATGGCAGATGTAAAGATCAGTAGTTTCAGGAAATAGAATAATTCTTCAACATTGAAAAAAGGTTGTGCTACCGCAAAAAAAAAAAAAAATCTTGTTTGTTCACCTTCCTTGGCTTCTCAACCAGCTCAGATTGGCGACTTTTATAGACGAAGTCTGAAGACTGCTTCTGCACAATGGGAATTAATACCTCAACATTCACCTTATCCACAGATTTCATTTAAAGGATCCGTATCACAATATGAAGCGTCTTTTGGAAGCTGCTAAGTACAAACAGTATCAGTACAGCCTTAGATGTGACCGCAGGGTAATTGGGCTCCTTATGAGTGTGAGTGGGGTCACAAAGTACTGTTGCTTTATATGTAAATTCTATAAATTTTCCTGAATATCACTTATGTTCTGTTGTCTTTTTTTTGGCTTACTAACCAAGTAAAAGAAATACTGAAAGAATGGTATTCCGACCTCAAACTCATGGAAGTATGTAGAAAGGTAGATAAGTAAGCTTTCAACAAGCATTGCCCACCAGAAGTAAACAAAAATAAGCGGTAAATCATATCAATCAAATGATTGCATAGCCTGCATCCATTAAACCTAAATCAAAGAAGAAAAGAAATGTAATTGATAAAATAAAGAATATCGTGACCATTGCCATCATTAGGAAATCAAAATGAGATGAAAATGTTTGAAAATAAGAAAGTGAATAAGCTTCTGCAACTAACAACATCTGCCAATTGAACAAACAAATGCATGCAGGAGCCAAGTGTTGTAGAGTAGTTTTCACAGTGGAGGCTTGTATTTCAATAAGTCGTCCTAAATTAGGTTCGACGTACAAAACGTTAGGAACTTGAAATAGGAGTTAATGACGCAGCAATCTAGTTGTGATGGTTGATACTTCAATGTCCGACATCGACTGACTCACTCAGCACCACTGAGCCCAACTGGCCCCTGCTACTACTACTTATTATCTGTGGGAGAGTCTATTACAATAGAGTAGGTATTATGGTATAACACCAAGATACTCTAACAGTGACATAGATGCAAAAGCCGGAGAAGAGAACAACAAAAAAACTATAGAAAGTAAAAATTTATCAGAAACCAACAGCTAGAAATAATGAATAAATATATACAACTAAACTGGGGGAGATAAACCTAAAGATCTTGGCTAAGGGAGGCTGTTTAATGAGATACCAACATAGAGTCCAGCAATACACACAGAAACAATGAAAGATTTTATCAAAAAGTAAATGAGAAAGGAAGAGAAAAAACAGATCAACCTGATGTTTACAGTTTAATACTAAATTGTTTTGCTTCTTTAGAAGTATTAAACTGTAGGAACAAAAAACAGTCATATCCTGTTACTTGGATTTCCTAAAAAAAAAACGCACGACTTAAAAGGGATCGCCGAAGAAGGACTCAAAGCTGAAATAAACGTAAGAACCTTGAAAAGAACCTTAAAAATTAACCGTGATGGTTCGAACTATTCGTGAATATTCATGAAACTATTGCAAATGTCTTAAAAGAGTTTTCTAAGAAATTCCATATAGTGATTTTCTAAGCCCGGCTTAGATGTGGCACAAGGCCGAAAGTATAGGGCACCCAGTGAGGATCGGACTCACTACTCAGTCGTAATTGATCTAGCAAGGCAAGCTTTCTAACCATTACACCACGTCGAGGTGCCCATGAAATTCCATATATTATACGAGTAATACTTAGATTAGAGCAATTAAAGAATTATCTAATATACTGAGGAGAATATTGAAGTAGTGAAGAAAGTTGGTGTCACTTGATCTCTAGTAAATTGTAGTTACTAGTCTTACTGCTCTGAAAACCGAATGAGTGCAAATAATAATAAAATAAATTTGAAAAATCAATTAAGAAAGGAATACAAAATTTCAACTGCAAGGTTTAGACATATTGATTTTATCTAGCCCTCAAACACAAAGAAGATAACATAATTGGCCGTTCTTGTAACTTAAACTTGTACACGATGCCCTTCAATGAGAAGCAACCGGAAAGAGCAAAGACTGCGAAATATCATTGATCAAAAATAATCCTATGTTTGGAGACGCCGGTGAAGTTGGCCAGACGAAGTGAGTTGCCATTCACGTACTAATTTCTCTGAATATATTGAGATAAATCATCAGAAGATAATCCGGTGCGCCACAGCCTCCTCCTTTTGGCGGTTAGAGAATCTTGTCAGCGACTTACGGTGAACCATGTGGAAAACGGAAAGCTTTTGTGTAGGTTATTCATCGAACGACCAGATTGCTGATAAGAAAGAGTGTAGTGGAATTTATAGCATTGCACGAGGGATGCTAAAAGTCTAGTTAAAAAGAATAAAAATAGCATTTAACTCACCCTATGCTCTTCTTCATTATTGTGGGTGTCTGTTCCCCTTGAAAACCAATTTTTGGGGAAGCTGTGTTCTTTGACATCATCCTTCAAACTTACTTTTTCATCAGTTTGTTTTTCATGTCTTCCTAAATTTAGAGTTTAGCTCGTTAATATTGACCAACTGGAAGGTTATTTTTATTCTTTCATAAATATTTGTATTGAAACACATTTCTGTTATCTTTTTTATTGGATGTTGTGCTTCAAGCTTGATTAATTACCAGTTTTTTCTCGAACCAATAAGCTTTTTGTTTTTCAATTTTATTCCTTTAGGAATTATCTCTCAGTTATATGAAACACCGAAATACACCTATACACACATACATATGCGAACTTGTGTGTGCGTATAACACGCGTACGTAGACACACACATACACATGAGAACGTATGAATCGAAAATACATACGTTCTTTTTTACAAAAAAAAAAAAGTCAAAATGCAAAACAATATTTATTGTCTATCAAACTCGTATCAATGAAGGACTGCTACTTATTGTGTGAGTGTGTGTGCGCGCATACACGTAAGCATAATTATAAGCTCATAATGTATACGCATTTTTTAATGCATGGATGTAATTTAAAATACTAGTTTGTGATCATGTATTAAGTAATTCTAGGTGTCTTTAGTAATACATACCATATGTTAAATTACTTTTCAAACTACGAATCATTGTTTTCTTTACATTTTCTCCGACTGAGTTACATTGTTTTACATACTTTTTTTCAGAGCATAATTTAGTCCAAGTGCCTATAACTGTTTGTTTTAATATACATAGGCTGCCGTTGAAATCAAGCTTTACCGCTTTGCTTTCTTTGAACTACTAGAGCACAATTTATTTGTCTTGGCCACTGTAGAATAACTTTTAAAAGGAAGCTGTAAGCTCAAGCAATTGTCGAATCGAGTTAGAAAACAGTAGAGTTCAAAGTAAGTTTACTTATATTTTTCTGCAACATTTCTAGTGGTTCCCTTCCACTCATTTATTTCTTCCTCTCTAAAATGTTACTTTTTTTTTTATCATTTTCATTCTCTCTCACTCTCTCATATTTCCGTTTTTTCCCCAGAGAATAGGAGATGCTATATGCGAATGGTGCCAAAAGTAATCTACACCAAAGTGGCTTTCAGACATTTGAAATTTGTCCTTCTGTGATCAGTAAATTTAAATGAATTTTGAGCTGATATTTTCATGCTCTTACTAATTTGCGTTCAATCAAATTTTGAATAGTAGATTTCGCTTTTACTAACTGCAACGGGAAGGGAGTTTGATGACACCTGTTTATCATATATAGCATAAAATGTTCATGGTGCATACAGTTGATTGCACAAAGCATAACAATGTAACAACGATGCCAAGTATAAAGGTATCTAATATAGTTTAAGGATACATATATACCTAGTATGATGCGTCCCCATGGCTAAGACAGGTTGAAAATTTAAAACGGATAATTGTTTTTTTCCCAAATTTTATGTTCACGCAAAAGTGTGTCGAAATATCATAGTACTATTGTAAGACTTTCGTGTTGAGAACCTGTCAAAATAATAGCTGAAGTTTAGTTTTCAGCTTTGTTAGATTAGGACACGCGCATAGACAAGCAAATGGATGCATCTGTATATCTATCTCTTTGAACCCGGAACATGTACTCGTCTATATAAGAAATCATAGAAGTAAGGAAATACTTTAAGTAGGTTTCGCCAATATTCCTTTAAAAAGGTATAAACTTAAATGTTTTCTTTTTTTTCTGTCATAAAATTTGTTTTTTCTCGGATCTCTGTCTATCATACATATATCACTTTTATGACACTTCTCTCTACTACATCATTTTAGCATAAGGGCTACTGTATGTTATGTATACTATTATACATTATATTCGTGCAATAGTTCGGGCATTAAATACCTCAGATATCAGCAAGCTGGCCGGTTGACTGTCTGACTTGCTATTTACCTATTTATCTGCAAAGGACATTCTGAAATTAATGTTTCGGATTTATTTACACTAAAACTACAATAAATACAAACTTAAAAATAACACCGTTGGCTAGAACAAAGTTTCAGTTACAAAAAACTCTTTTTCCATACCGTCACTGCCATTTTCATTTACATTTTACGCATTTTTCATTTCAAGTGTTACCTGCTCACTAGATTTGCCTGAAACTTGGCATTTTATACACATCGCTTGTTGCCATTGCTGAAAGGAACCTAGTAACCTCCTAATTGTGTTCACATCCACTATTTAGTTTCCGCAAACGACAAGCATGCATAGATGGGTGTATTTTTTTGTCGGTCGACCTAATAAAATAGGAAGTGACTCTTGTATGTGTATTTTAATACCGAACTGTACTGATATTTTTATCAGGCAATTTTCACAAGCGATAAAGTGATTAGAGGAAATGCAAGTCATATTTTAGTTGAAATCAGGATTAACATGACGCTATGTACTTATTGATTTAGTTTCGCGTTCGCTCTCTCTCCCTCTCTCCACCCCCATATATATATATATATATATATGTGTGTGTGTGTGTGTGTGTGTGTGTACAGCGAGAGAGAGAGAGAGAGAGAGAGAGAGAGAGAGAGAGAGAGGAGTAAACAATAAGTTTCGAATTACAAAATAAGAAAAAAGTTCCTTTATTAAATACAAAGGATGGACTAAAAATAATCGGAATATATTTTTCCATTTGTTCATTCGAGAAAAGAAATACGAAGAACGAACCAAAGAATATACAACATGAAAATCATAAGAAAAAAGAATTTCGAAAAATATACCTTTTCATTTGATAATAAATATATGGAGTGAATGGTAATCTACAAAGTGACATGAAATAAAAATTAAAATTCAAGCAATTAAATAATATAACAACCATGAAGTTATTGTATTTAATTTAGTGACGCATCAACTGGCGTGGCGGGTGGAGGCTGACTACATCGGCTCCGGTAACACAACAACAATCGCTATTGTATGCGCTAACCCCCACAGTGATATTGTTTAGATGCGTAAGCATGATTTCATTCGTAGTTAGTTGATGGATGGGTTGTGATCACATTTGATATCAAGACCGTTATTAACTTAATCAATATCAATTATTTGTTAGAGAGAACTGAAATCAAATCCAGTATGGCGAATAAACCCTTGGTCTAACTTGATAATACATACATAACACATTAATATATATGTACATATACATATGTATGTGTGTATGTTTGTGTGTGCAGACGTATGTATGCATATGTGTGTGCATGTATATGTGTGTGTGTGTTTGTGCATATCTATGTGCGTATGTATGTACGCGTGCGTATGTATATATATTCAATTAACAATAAATAAAATACAGTTATGAACCTAATTTTCTATAACTAACACCGAAATAAGATAACACCAAGCCAAGTAAAAACAAACTATTAACTACTAAACAAGAAAAACGAAAGAATGGACAAGCGAAAACATAAAACAGTTTAATGCCATTTAAGCATAACAATAATAATAATAATAATAATAATAATAATAATAATAATAATAACTTGGGATCCAAACGCTTATAAATGAAAATTTTACTGTTGTTGTTAATAATAGCAATAGTAAAAAAAAAAAAAAAAAAAAAGAAGTGGAAGAAGCTTGACCCCGCTCCCGAACGTGATAGTTCACCATGGTATGGATATACTATGGCGTCCACTAAACATCCCTCACATATCGGTAAATACGAACTAACCGACGCAAAGAAAAAAATATTGCTAAACCGCATTAGTCGTTACGCGGGTCAACAAGGACCACGATCCCCAGTGAGGAACCAGACAATTTCAAAAGTAAGAATGGCCCGTCAAGTGAAAGAAATCATCAACCTCGCTAACCAAGTAATTGGAAAAATAAAGGATGATACGGAAAGACCGATGAACCAGACAGAAATTATTCATCTTATATACGCAGCCTCGACAATTATCTCAGAAACAGGTGAAAAAATAAAAAAAATACCAATCTGGAAAGAGCAAAAATAGAAACCGAAATAAATAACCTGAGGACAATTGTCACTTCTAAGTGAAGTCGACAAGAAGGGCTCCAAAATGGAAGAAAGAAAAGGGAGACAACTGAAACGAAGCCTTGACATAAAGAATAAGACTGACGTAGCAAAAGTTAAAGGGAAGCTGAAACAAAAAACATCAAGCAAAGGCACAGAGAATCAGGAGTTATGAAAAAAGAAACAGTTACTTCTGGAAAAACAAGATCTTCAAAGAAAACGCCAAGAAGCTATATCGAAAACTGGGAAAAAATTAAATAGAGATTAAGGACCCACCTAATATCCAGGAAGTCGAGGAGTTCTGTTGTAAAATTAGAAAGCATCAGAAATAGACTGAATAGATAATTTTTGGGGTAAAAAAACCCTATCTAGCACCCACCAAAATGTCGCATGGACATACAATGATATAATCATAAACATAGAAAATACCCCAAATAGCTGACGTGGGGAGTAACATACATATTCCCAAAAACAGACGCAGAACCCGACTTGCCTACGATCAATGTACAAGATCCTCACTTCTATCGTAACCGAGAGGACATGCAATTTCCTTGAGAAAAAAAAAATTACCCCCAGCAGAACAGAATAGATGTAAAAGAGGAAGTTATGGGTGCAAGGACCTACTAATTATCGATAAAACAATATTGAAAGAGGTGAAAACAAAGAAAAGAAACATCGATAGCATGGATCGACTACAGGAAGTCGTTCGACAGTGTACTACGATCATAGATAGAAAAGAGCCTAAAAGTATACAGAGTATATCCCACAACGGCGAAATTCATAACAGAGAGCACGAAAAAGACTACACTAAACCTAAACCATACAAGCGAGTCATTAACATCGAGACCCAACAACATCAAACGCGGGATCTTCCAAGGAGATTCATTGTCACCATCACTACTATTCTGCCTTGTATTAGCGCCACTCAGCTGCCTACTGAACAACAGTAGCTACGGATACATGTCACAGAATGTCAAATTGAATCACCTATTCTATATTGATGACCTTAAAACGTTTGCCAAGCAGAAGAACCTTCTTACCATTGTCAAAACCATCATCGAAGAGAGGATTGAGTTCCGAATCGACAAATGTGTCAAAGCCACCTTCAAAGGCGGAAAACTACCGAAAACTACAGATTTAGACCTTGATATCAACAACAAGATTAAGGAATTAGACCAAAATGGTGCATACAAATACTTAGGAATTAATGAAAGAGACGGAATACAACATTCAATTCAAAGATCCGAAAAGAATATTATAGGACAGTGGATTTGATACTAGAAAGCAAACTTAATGAGGTCAATAAAGTGAAGGCTATCAACACCATAGATATACCCGTTGTAACTTACAGCTTCAACATTATTAAATGGAAGTTGAATGACATTAAAAGATTGGACGTGAAGGTCAGGAAAATGCTTATCCAAATGAGGATTCACCACCCGAAATCAGATGTTGATAGGCTGTACGTACCAAGAGCTTTAGGAGGCCGAAGTCTAATTCAACTACAACAATCGGATTGGAAGCATATCTTACAAAAACCAAAGACCCTCTCCTACAAACAGTAAAACACCAAGTCCACTCCATCAACACAGCTGCACTCTTCACGAAATATCTTAATATACCTGAAACCCAACCAACTAAAAACGAAACGAATACCATTTACGCCAAATGTGTAAAATAGAAAGCAAAATAACTTGGCCAAATGAAATTATAAAAAATCTGGGAGGACAAGGCGTTGCATGTCAAATACCCAAAAAGAACGAAAGAAGCAAATATGGACCAACAGAAAACACATCAGTGGCTTAGGAGCACAGGGTTGAAAGCCTAATTATTGCAGTTTAGGATCAAAGCCTCGCAACCAAATCCGCTGTCACATAATCAAGGATAGAACTAACCCGAAATGCAGGATCTGCGGAAAATATGATGAAACTGTCGATCATATTAACTCAGGATATCCGAAAGTAGCAAAAAAATGAATATACCAACTAACATAAGGTAGCAACATATGTGTAGGGGAAGAAGAACAAATTCGAAACCACTCGGAGATGGTATGAGCACCAACCAGACACAATTACCCAAAATAACGATGTAACTATCCTCTGGGACAAGCCAATTCAAACTGACAGGGAAATAAAAGCCAACAGACCAGATATTATCATAAAAGACTAGAAATTCAGGAAGTGTATTATGCTTATTGACATTATTGACAGAAACATCTGAGAGAAACATCTCCATGAAAATTATCGAGAAATTGTCCAAATACAAGGACTTGTAGATCGAGATTAACAGGATGTAGGGAATGAAGACTGTACCAATAGTAATCGGGGCTCTGGGCCTCGTGAGAAAAGGAATGGAAAATTTTACTAACAGTGTCCCAGGTAACATCAACATACAAGTTGTCCAGAAGATCACCTACATCTCATATGCTAAGAAAAGTACTATCAATTAAATGACAATTCTCCTATAGGGCCTAAGAACCATAGTTTGAACCCAGCTTTACAGGATACAAAGCAGGAAACATAACATACAGAAATGATAATAATAATAATAATTTAAACAAGAAATAAAAAAAAAAACGGAATATACATATGTATGGAAAAATTTTAGAAACCTCCAGGATATTCTGGAATATCAACCTAATATAAAGTGGTCCCTGATCCTGGAAATAACTTTGCTAATCTTTTGACACTCAGAACCGAAAGATAAAGAAAAGAAACGGAATAACTAGAGAGTATGAAGAGAAAAGTAAGTTATGAAAAGAAGAAATAACCACGGCATCTTATACATGTGCATATACGCGTACGTAAAGGCGTACGCACGCACACACAGGCAGAGACGCGCGTCCGTGCGCATACAGACACGCATGCAAAGAAGAAGAATCAACTTAATATCAATAAAAAGCACATAAACTATTCTTTTAACTTTTAATCAAATTAAGGAAAACCAGAGAAATGACAGACATTTGCTGATATCTATTGACGAGTGGGACGAACAATTACACAAAGGTTCGTCAACGAAACTCCGGCATAGAGGTGCTGAATCAATCAGTTAAGCGACAGATGTAAGTATGTATATATATATTACTTTTGTTTTTGAAATGAATGTATGAAGACATGGATGCTGTACTTGTTCGTATGTACTCTAAAACGTAGATGAACCTGAACATTTATATGTGAATTTATATATATATATGTATGGGCATTTTGGATAAGGGTACTTATATGCATATATGTGTTTGTATGAATTGTAGGCGCATATGTATATGTGTATGTATATATGTATATATATGCATATATATGAGTATGAATATATATGTATGTGGTATGTAGAGGTGCAAGCGTAGTTTTTGGCTAGGTATTTTTGTATATATATGTGTATATGTATTTTGCATGTATGTATGTGTGTATGTATGTGTATGTATATGTATATATTGTGTTGGATATGAAATTGCATGTAATCTATGTATGTATGTGTATATAGATGTAAATACTTTAGAGTGAATATTTGTAATATGTGTGAATATATGTATAACAGTAATATAAATACATATGCATGTATGGATGTTTATGGGTATAGTTCTTTTATATGCTTGTTTATGTATATAATTGTGTGTGTGTGTGTAGGTGTATGTGCGTGTGTATGTATATGTGTATATATGTATATATATATGTATATGTATGCATATATATGTATATGTGTATGTATGTGTATATGTATATATATATGTGTGTATGTGTATGTATATATATATATATGTGTGTGTGTGTGTGTGTGTGTGTATAGAATGTATTCAAATGGAAGGACATAAGGTCATTTTAAATGTGTTTTAAAATTACTCTTATTAATATTTAATCTCACTTTCTCCTTTAATGTTCTATAATTAGAATTATGAGAGTGTATATTTATCATCTGGAGGTATTTTCATTTTAAATTGATAATTTAACTTAAATCTAAATATACCACTCTTTAACTATCAATATTGATAGTAAAATATTAACTTCATTTTTTTTTAATAATTAAACACTTCAGAAGTCACCTAACGTTAAACTTTAACTATGAAATTAAACAAAAATCTAAATAAATTTCAAATATTAAAATATATGTAATTATTTATAAATGTATGTGTATGTAATTTATGTATGAATATGGATAGGTACCTGTGTATATCGCTACATGTGTGTCTATGTGTGTATTTGTGCATGTAATTAAACGTATGTATATATGGGATTTGCATGAATATGTATGTGATATATATAAGAAGAAAGCAAAATCTTTAATATTACCCTCAAATATTATTCCATAATTAAACCTAAACTTTAAGTAAGTAAGATTACCCATATAAGAATAATGACAAATTGCATTCATAAATTAGATTAAAAGTAAAACTAATAAAGATGTTACCGTAACTATTTTTACAATATTAAAAAATTACGATTGGTCAGGTAAACAAACTATTATAATTTAAAATATTTTTTTAATATGTTCTCTATAAATGTGTTAATAAAAATAGTAGTTAACTTATATTAAGTCCCTAAGCTATTTGTTTTAAAAAAATTAAATATTTAAATTGATAGCAAACATCAAATTTTTTTAGACATTTAAATTTCTATCAAGCATTAAAATCTATTCTTTACATAAATTGCTAAAACCTAATTACAGCTTCTTTCTCTTTACTTCCCTCTCCCTCTTCTTTCTTTTTCCTTTTTCCTTTTCTCCCTACTCCCCTCCCATTTCTATATATCACTTCCGTTAAGTTAACCGTCTAAATAGGTCAAGGTTTGGTCACTCCTCCTCCCCCAATACAAAGTATGCTTGAGAGAGATATGAAATTAATCCCTCTCTATACTCTACCATGTCTATTTAACTATCCCTCTTACACTCTCTGTTAAATTACAAAAACTTACGCTACCCATCAATTTTAATTTCATTTTTCGTTTCATTTCATTTTTGGAAGTGCTATCTGATGATCCGGCGTCGTTTAAAAGGACTCTGGTGAAATAAATTATTATACTGGTACCTTAAAGTGGTCTGTTTTTTCTTTTAAATATATATATATATATATATATACTAAGAGAGAGAGAGAGAGAGAGAGAGAGAGAGAGAGAGAGAGAGAGAAGAGAGAGAGAATACATGAGTACTATTCAATTACACAATTATGAAATTGAAAAATAAAGCTTCTGAAATATTTTGATTTTACCCTTATTGCGTATATGGTAAAATCAATTTTATATATATATATATATATATATATATATATATATATATATATATATATATACACACATGCATATATGAGTCAAATCGATGACGTATATATATATATATATTTTAAGACATTTTTATGTTTATACATTCTATTTATGGATACAAATATTTAAGTAAATGCTCTCTTTATAATAAACAGTATTAAACAACATTTAACGGCCTGAATGGCCGAGAAATTTTCACAGAAAATATTTGTCCTGCGAAATATATATATATATATATATATATATATATATATATATATATATATGCGTGTTTCGTTGAAAATAACTGACATTGTACTCGTGTTCATTTTTTATTGTATTTTTCTTGTTTGCGAAGAAGAGCTTTCTTGTTTCAACCTAATGAATGCGGAAATTGTACGAGTGGTTTGTTTTTACTTTTTATAAGGCGAATTCTAAAAATAGGAAGTTTATTATCTATTAGCAGGTGGAATGAAAACTTTATACGACCGACTATAATTATGAATTCAAATGACGCATAGAAATCTGCGTTTACGACAAAAACAAATTCATTAATAATTATCTCGGACATACCACCACTCGCTTATCAAGATGGTTAATTCTACACATCTCAGAACAGTGATCTATACGGGCATATCTAAGCCGGTATGGAAATGAAATATACCAATCTCAATACACAACATAGTCATTGTGAACATATCTGATAGGCCCTACTAACTGTACAAAGCGTCTAAAAATAATGGAACCCTTTATATATATATAAACTATCGTCAACTATGAACACGGTCCCAATGTACTGCCGTAAGCGGGAATTAGAAGGTCTATATTTTTGCTTACACACAATTTACAACAGCACAACCAAAATCCTTGAAAATTGTTAATAGATTAGCTTTAGAAAATTTATACAGAGTAACCCGGATATAAGAGACCCGGATATAAGAGAAACCCGGATATAAGAGAGATTTTCTCTGGTCCCAAATTAGAGCCTGTGTTAATGTAAACAAAATAGACCAAACCCGGATATAAGAGAAACCCGGATATAAGAGACTTCTCCGGTCCCGACAACTCTCTTATATCCGGGTTACACAGTATACAAACTGCTAAGAAATACTTAACAAAACTGTCTTGTCAGATAATTTTAACGAAGCATCTATTAAAGAGGGATTGCTGTACAAAACACACACACACACACACACACACACACACACACACACACACACACACACACACATACATACATATATGCGATGAGGTACTGGTCAAATGACTAAATTTATTTTGGAATCCCTTCTTGGTAGTTCCGATATTTTTTTCAAAACCGCCTCGTATGCGTGTATATGTGCTTGGATTTGTGTATATGTGCTTGGGTTTGTGTGCGTGAATATGCGCGTGCGTATGTGCGTGTATATGTGTTTGTGTGCGTGTGTATGTGCGCATGCGTGTATAAAACAAATTAAAATGGAAGGTGTCAAGCAAAAGAGATTGAAGAAGTATAAACCTGAGAAGCAAAAGGTAGTCCCATAATTTTACTGAAGGTCTCGCATTAGAGATATTTACTATGGTTAGTTCCGTATGTAACAAAGCCAGCTTAGTGGAACACGAGTGCGATCAAACTCAGTAATAATGGCCAGCAAGGCTAAAATGCTCTACTTCAGATTTCATTTATATATAGTCAGAAGAGAGAGTCAACATATACACTTTTGAAAAAGAAAAACTCTCAACATCACAGAGAAAGAGAGATGTAGAAAGAGAAAAAGGATGATATAAAAAATAAATAAAGGAGAGTCATGAATGTATTCTTCATAATTATGCTTATTTGGGAACTGAGATCATTTTATATAGTCAATTTTTCCGAAAACACTAGTCTGATATTTTGTTATTACTGAAGTTCTGATCACGTGAAGTGTGTTGTGAAGATAATATTTCTGCATGTCATATTTAAAATTGTGTTCTTATTACAGAGTCAGTAAAGTTGGAATAAACAATGATAAAATGATATTATTATAAATAATATAATTTGTAAGTCATATTTCTAATGAGGCGAAGGAGCAACATTCACGCGAAGTTCAAATTTAAGGGAAGCATTGGAATCGAGTATAAAATTATCTAATTGAAATGAAAATGAGAGGTTGGGTGATGACGTAGAATGTAAACATTTTGAATTTCAACGTAAATATAGATGTGGAAGTGAAAATCTGGCTTTGCTCATTTTCTCGAGAAATTTGAAAAAATATACAAGTTTCGAGAAATGAGTCAACTCATCTTTTGCAAAATGAACTCAGTAGAATCACTATTTATATAAAAAGATGAGAAAAAAATTGCCTTTTTCATTTGTTATACGTTTGGATACTTTGTACACACACACACACATACACATATATACAATTGTTTACATTATTCGGACTACTGTCCTCATCTTTGTCGCCATATTTATCACAACGTTTCGGCCGTTGTACGCTCCGGTCTTCTTCAGGTGTTTGGAATTTCGAACTGAACCTTTGCCACTGTGCCATGGACACATGGCACAGTGAATAAAGGCGTTGGTTAGATCCAGTGACAGGACCCAAAGAGTGTGAGTTCAATACCCGGTTAAGGCAGTGGAGAACTTTCAGAGGGAAATTAGCAGGAGATAACTGATAACTGACATCCATCAAACATGCCACGTGGAACTAGAACAGTCTACCCCAGTGAGCAGAATAAAGGGTTCAGTTCGAAATTTCAAACACCTGAAGAAGGCCGGAGCGTACAACGGTCGAAACGTTGTGATAAATATGGCGACAAAGATGAGGACAGTAGTCCGAATAATGTAAATAATGTACATAATACCTCATCTCAGAAATATAGACAGACATATATACAAATAATAATAATAATAATAATAATTATTATTATTATTATAACTGCTTTTTAACAGATGAAACGCAACTAGGGTCCTGATATTTTACAGACTGATATTTTAAAATTAGTTTTTAAAAACGTTTAAAAGCCCGGTTTCTGCCAGCTCTTTGCCATTAGTGTCAGTTTCACAATAAAATTTATCTTCAGATACCGGAATCTGAGGATCGATTTTATTGTGAAACTGTTTGTTTTACCAATTCATCAGTACTTTAATCTTGTCAAAAGTGATTCGTCTAAAATGGGTATAAAACGTATTGTAGCAATGATTATCGTTAGTTGTGAATATAGTGTTATATAACATAGTTTTTAAACAAAATTCAGCAATTTATAAGTGAAACTTTACGTTGGATGCGTCTGGACATTTAAACAAATTTTGTTAAGACAACAGATAAGTAAAAAAATTTAAAAATATAAGACATATTTTGTTTGTTGCTTTTAACGAAGACTTGTTTGAAAGAAATGCAAAGTACATTATGCTCCTGTATTCTTTAAAATCCCATTCTAACTCAAGTCCCTTACACTCTCTGAAGAGTATGTGGTCACAGCTCTCAAGTACCTTCCTGAAGAGTATCTGGCTACAGTTTTCAGGCACCTCAAGTTCTCAAGTCCTTTAGACTCCTTGAAGAGTATGAGGCTACAGCTCTCAAACCCCTTAGATATCCTGAAAAGTATGTAGTACAGCTTTCAGCACGCCCGACATTGCAACTGTGGTTTGAATAGCAAGTATTAAGGTTTTACAGAATTAAATTCCTAGCCCCATGCCCAACCGTTGTAATTTTCCTAGACTAATTACCAACCATGACTAAAGTGCCCTACTATTAAACCCAAAACTGGAGAAAAAAGATTTCTCAATCCCAGCAGCTATCCATTAGACCACGAGCAACCCCTTTAAAATCAACCAAAGAATTTTAATTATACAGTCTGATGAATAAATGTAAATGAGTTTTGATTCCTCATCATAAACGTTGTGTTCAACCAAAAAAAAAAAAAAAAAAAAGAAAAAAAAGAAGAAAGGCTGCTCGTACATAAAATTTATTAAGGAAATTAGCATCAAAGATGAAAATAAGAGTTCCTAAAAGTAGTCCCACAGATACGTCTTAAGGAAAGTTAATTTTCCCCGCTCTTTTTCAACTTCACATACACACGTACATATACCCGTGCGCATTTCTGTGCCTGATTAAAAAACGTTTTGGGGATTATAATATTTTACTTTTACTGATGTTTCAACGTATGTCGGATGTTGGGTATTTAGTATAGACAAATTGTCAATGTGTAATTAGAGTATTTCTTGAAAGTATATTTATATTTAAAACCCGGAATAAAAAAAAAAACTGTTAAAATAGTTTTGTCTTTCTTAAGTTAAAACTATTACTTCATGACTAAAAGGATAACTTTCGTGGAGTGAGCATGGGTTGTATTTGAAGCACATTATTTATTACTTTGAATAATTTTGCTTATGATTGCAACAAATGAAAAAAGTGCATTTTTTCTGAAATCATTCTTATATTTAGACGATTTCCGAAGTTTGAGATGCTGTGGGGTAAATGGTAATAATGTTTTCCCATCTATCTATCTATCTATCTATCTATCTATCTATCTATCTATCTATCTATCTATCTATCTATCTTGTTTCTTATTCTTTTCGTATCTATCTATCTATCTATCTATCTATCTATCTATCTATCTATCTATCTATCTATCTATCTTTTTGTTTCTTATTCTTTTCGTATCTATCTATCTATCTATCTATCTATCTATCTATCTATCTATCTATCTATCTATCTATCTTTGTTTCTTATTCTTTTCGTATCTATCTATCTATCTATCTATCTATCTATCTATCTATCTATCTATCTATCTTTGTTTCTTATTCTTTTCGTATCTATCTATCTATCTATCTATCTATCTATCTATCTATCTATCTATCTATCTATCTATCTTTGTTTCTTATTCTTTTCGTATCTATCTATCTATCTATCTATCTATCTATCTATCTATCTATCTAT